AGTATGCCCCGGATGGTCCACGCTGTAATTACCTCTCGTGGAGGCTCTACCAACTATTGATTTTGAATAAAGTTAGTTTTTCTTATCAATCACAGGTGTCCAAATACTTATTGGTAGTCAGTGTATAATTGCAGAAATAATTATAATCATTGCGGTGATATCGAAGATGAAATTTATAAATTCACCACTAAAATGAAAGATGCAATCAATAATGCGACTTATCCCAACAAAAGCACTATTAATTTTCTCTCCCTTCCTAAATATATAAAAGATATTATTGACAGAGAAGAATAGAAAACATAAGGAATGGCAGCGGTCCGGAGACCCTCGTGCCAAAAGGCACATCAACGTTTTAAACAGGAAAATCAAGCATGAAATTATGGAATTCAGAAACAAAAATGGGACTTTCTCCTATCAAACCTGGATCCTCAAGATCAAGCAGTATGGAAAATTGCTAAATCTCTAAGAAATAGCAGACCAAATCAAACTCATGCAACGCATGCAATTGGGAATCTCCTATCAATCTGAGGACGAGATTGCTAATATAATGGCTAATGAATTAGAGAAAATCTTTCAACCTCACCCGCCTGAGAATAACTCCAAGAAGAAGAAGAAGTTAATTTTACCATTGACAGTATTAACAATTATCCTATAACAAATTTCATTTCCTTTACTTCACCAAGAGAAGTAAGAGAAATTATTCACAAACTCAAGCCAAGGAAAGCCAAAGGCTATGATCAAATTAGCAATGAAGCCCTTAAAGCCCTTCCTAGACGTTGTATTACTAACATAGTCAATATTTTTTAATGCCTGCATCCGAAATAATTATTTCCCTCAGCAATGGAAAGACTCAATAATAGTCAATATCTTAAAACCAAAGAAAGATCCTTAACTCGTCACTTCCTACAGACCTATCAGTCTTTTACCTTCATTAGGAAAAAGTATTTGAAAAAATCCTCTGCTCAAGGCTCACTAACCTTCTCGAAAGACTCAATTTAATAGATGATCTGCAATTCGGCTTCCGCAGTAGACACTGCACTACTCATCAAATTCTCAATTTGGTGGAATTTGTTTCGCAAGCCTTTACTAAGAAAATCGGGGTGGCTGCATGCTATCTCGACCTCGAAAAGGCCTTTGATAGAGTGTGGCATGCAGGCCTCCTGCATAAATTGAATAATTTTATGCTTCCAAACAGTTTCGTAAAACTCATTAGTTCCTATCTGAAAACAGGACTTTTCAAGTTCGCTGCGGTGACGCCTTATCTGTCAGAAAAAGAATTCATAGCGGGGTCCCGCAAGGATCCGTTCTTTCCCCCCGGCTCTCTATAATGTTTATATCAATGATTTCCCGCACCCATTCAACACGAAAATACTCAAATACGCTGACGACACTGTAGTACTGACTGAATCCAGAAGTCCCCAGCTCGCTCTAAGTAATTTACAAATGCATCTCAATATGATCAATCACTGGTGCAAGACTTGGAAAATTAAGCTCAACGCCTGTAAATGTTGTATTGTGTTCTCTATCGGAGATACAAAACAAGATTAAGAGTCAATACTGATATCTACTTAGATAGAACTCTAATCCCTGTAGCTAATTCCTATAAATATTTAGGTATTTACATAGATAAGTCTCTCAACTTCAAAGATCATATTTCTTATATCTTAAACAAAGAAAATGCAGCCTACATGGCAATTTATCCTATTATCGGCAAAAAATCGAAGCTCAGTCTAAATAAAGAAAATGCTTTACATATCTCTCTATTCGACCGATCATGCTATATGCAGTGCCGGCATGGGCAATCGCCAATAAAACTGAGCGCAAAAAATTGGATATACTTCAAAATAAAGTTCTACGTAGCATTGTGAATGCACCTTGGTACGTGAGAAACTCTATAATTCATAACGACTTGGATATTCCATCTGTGCATAACTTTATACTCATGACAGCTCACAACTTCTTCGAGAAGATGAAGCATAGTCAGTATAACGCAATTAAACAAATGTTGGATTATGATCCAACCATTGAATACACTGTCAAACGCCCAAGGACAATTCATCACAATTCGTCATGGTGGTAACTTGTAAATTTTAATTTTAAAATTTACTTGAACTCTGAAATTGGACTCTATCCTATTATTTGTGTTGCATCTTATACTTATCTTAATCAAGAAAATTTTTATTCAGATTTTTATGTTACTATTTCATTTTTTAAATTTATTTGTATGAATTTTTACTTTATCGTATGATTCTACGAACTTTTGAACTTTTTTTTACGGCCTATCTAGCTACTGCATACTTCTGAAGGACTTTGAACTCTTATGCCATTCACAGCTTCAAACTGTCTTCGCGCCATTTTCATGATGTCTCACTATTGCTTATCCTGCACTCTTACTAGCTATATTGCACTCACCACCTGCATTTGCCATACAACTCGCTGAACCTGCCTGCATGCTTCAATTTAATGCCATTGCTTACCACTGCACAATTTTTATGATGAAAGCCTACTTTCGTAAGTATTAAGATATGGCTGCTCACGCAGCTGAATTTTCTTCGCCCACGGGTGTTGGTACTTCCCTAATACCATTTATTTGAAAACATCTTTGCCTAATGCACTTTAATGCGATCTACTGGCGAAAACTCTTTGGTAGTTAATGGCCAGAAGAAAGTAAGTCATAAGTCATTAAAGTTATAAAATGTATGCAATGTAACGCTGTTAAGTGAACCTAGACTACGGTAAACAAATATATGCAATAAATGTATGCAATGTAACGCTACAAACAAATATATGCAATAAATGTATGCAATGTAACGCTGTTAAGTGAACCTAGACTACGGTAAACAAATATAGTGAATTTAGGAGCGCATTTATTCTATTGAGGTTTATGCGCTAACGGCAAAGTAGATTTAATTCAATCCAATAAGTTTAAATAAAATTCAGAAACAATGAGTATGATTTAATATTCCATACAAGGAAGTCATGTGGTTGGTGTACACGTCAGATTTTTTTAATCTTCAATGCTTTAACTGTCGCCTGCTGTGATAACATCATCCAAATCTTCATTCATCATTTCCCAATTAATTCGTTCACGTTTCCTTCCTCCATATCCGAAACTCCTTTGCCCCCAATTGTTTTGCAATTTGCACTTTCTTTGGCTTCATTTTCAGTCGGTGGAAATCCTTGAAAACTGTTAATAACTTCTTATCAAAAATGATACCAGTAAGCATTCAGTATTGAGGAATGAACGCTGAACCGCGTATGAATGAAATTATAGCGTTGGATCAAACAAAGGAAACAATTTAAATCCCGCGTATAAGCGAAAGCACGTTACGCGAATCTTCGCTCGGCAAGGGTTTATTGTAATTACTGTTGCTGTTATTCCTGTAAATATTGATACAATTAAATATAAGCATATCTTTTTCCCACTATTGGTCAGATAATAGAATGTGAGGCGGTAGACTAAATTGTAAGAAATTATGTAAAAATATAGGGTATTTTTCTTGTGTCTGCTTTCTATCATAAACTTTCATTATTATTTTAATTACGTGTTTTTAATTTAAACAATTTTTCGCACATACCTTCGTTCGAGGAATAAAGTAAAAGTCGCAGAATTTTATTGTTTGCAATATCTCTTACATAAAATCTGTATGTAAATTTTGGTGCAATTTCTAATTTTGTGGCTAATTATTAAAAAAACTGTTTAAATGTTTCTACTATTTAACGTTTTGGGTCGACCGGGCTTTGGACTCTTTTTCCAGTCACTTTTCAAATGTGAGAGAATGTAAGGAATTATTGCATTCAGTTGAAAGTACTGTTCCGATATAAATGGTTAGAGCGTCCAAAAAGCGTCGGGTCGAATCTAGAACAAGGTAAAATTTTTTCACTCCGAAATACTTAGCTACTTATACAGTGGCACCTGAAATAAAAGTGTGGTAGAAATTATTCGGTGCTACCTAAATTTCATAGAAAGAATTACATGAGTCTCAGCAGTCCTTCCTTTTGTGGCAGATTTTTAAGGAACTAATGCATTCCCCGTGATTACTGTTATAATGTGAACAGCTAACGCGTCCAGTTAGAATTTAAGTATCTGTGATTCGAATCTTAGTGAAAGTACTAATCTTAGTGAAGGTTAGAAAAAGGAATAATGAGAATGTGCTTAGAGTTACAAAGAAATGAAAAGGACACAAGCTACCAAATGAAAATTACCAGAATATAACCTCGCCAACCTAATGATTAAAAACCATACATAGAAGGATACTAATTGTTGCTTAACAAGTAAATCATAGGTTCGAAAATCTGAGCCGACACTTTTTAAAAACACCAACATCTATTTTCATGCCATTTCTAATTCTACAAAATCTTAAATGCAACTAACTGTCAAACAGAAAAGCAGACGTAGACGTAATGATGCATCTAGGCACGTGATCCTCGTGACAGACGAATTCTTTCAGGTTGCCACAGAAAGGCAGTGTGTGGCCACAATTCTCCCACCTTTTAAGTGGATGGCTACACACTCAAAACATAAAACTTATATCAATATAAATGAGGGTTATATAACAAAGAAAATTACTTAATACTTAAATCATATTACTTGAAAACAAAATTAATACTGATGACTAATACAACAATAATAGCACAACAAAATAAATCATAATAACTCAAAGACATGAATTACATTATTCGTGATTTTACAACTCTACCACTACTGGTGGTGAAAGGAACTTGATCATTTTGAGTATTATCTATTATATTATCCAGTTCCAATCTAAACAATCTCTGTATTGGTCTCAAGAACTCTGAATTATTGCTTTTAACAAGGGCAACTCTTATGTTGCTATCTCGACCAGGGATCACCCGAATAACGTGCTAAATTCCAACATGCACGGTTTTTTTATTTTGATCCTCCAGCAAGACAATTTCTCTACAGAGAGAGGTTTATTTTTGTAATTTCTGGTAGACTGCTGTCTTAACTGCCCTAGATACTCAGAGCGAAATCTCACTCTTAACAATTCTCTCATTCTCTGGAGATACTTCGCTCTTCTACTCAATTTTACTTTGTCCACATTGTCAATATCAGGTACACCCGACTGTGGAGTTTCATGCAGAAATTTTTCTGGAGTTAAAGGCAAGGGATCTTCAATATCGTCAGATACGTACGTGAGTGGTCTTGAGTTGACAATTCTTTCACAATCGCACAAGACGGTGAGTAACTCTTCATAACAAAAAGAAGCACGACCTAAAAATTTTCTTAATATTTGTTTTACAATTTGTATTAAACGCTTCCACCATCCACCCCACCAAGCGGCGGATGGAGGATTAAATTTCCATCGTATTCTCTTTTCAGCAGCCTTAGAGCAGAGGCAGTCCCAGTCAATGGTTTGCAGAACTCTCTCTGCACCCACAAAATTTGTCCCATTATCATCGGAATATATGGTTGGTAGGGCCGTCCACGACGTGCGATAAAACGCCTTAAAGCCTTAAAAAAATGATTCAGTTGATAAAGTTGATGATAAATGAGGTAACCAAGTTCCATATGGATAGCACGATAAACCGCACAACGTGAAGAGCACAATATATGATTTTCGTCCATCCTTTAAATGCAAGGGTCTTGCAAGATCACATCCTACGATTTCAAAAATGGACTGAATCACGAACCCTATCATTTAGTAAAACGCTTGGGACTGTCTCTACCTCTTTTAGCCTTTAATCTCCTGACATGTTACACATTTTCTTATACAGTTCCTTATAGTTTTACGTGATTTTAAGATCCAGTATCTTCTCTCTTAAATGCGACATCAAGAATGTACTACCTGCATGCAACAAATCTTTGTGTGCACTTAATATCAATAATTTGACTACTGGATGCTTCAGAAGGTAATATGATGGGGAACTTGAAGTAGCTGCTAGAGTCGTCACGATAAGCAACGTTAGACTTAGCTCTTATTAGACCATGACTATCGACAAATGGATCTGAAGTCGTCTTAGCTTATCATTCTGTTTCACCATTAAACGACTCCTTTTGTATATTAATAAAATAAAAGCTATTTCTCCCCTTTCTATTTCAGATGCAGTCAAATCCTTAGAATGGTTGTTATTATTATTGCGTACATTATTATAAAATCTGAACATCCATGATAACATTCTTACAATTTTCTTAAATGATGAGAAATATTTATAGTACCATCCAATACAATTATCATTCTTTACCAACGTAACAATAACTGTCTTACGTATTTCTGAATTAATTAAATCCTCATCTGGTTCATCATTAGATTTAGGCCAATTTGTCTCATCTTTCCGTAACCAATCAGGCCCCCTCCCACCATTTTCATTCTATTAATTGATCTGCATAACAACCTCTAGAAAGTACAGGTCAGCAGGATTGAGACTACCAGGGACATGTTCGCCATACAGTGGGGGAGGTCAAAGACCTGATTTCCTGTACACGATTAAAAACGAATGCTCCCCAACGTTGATTTTCGCCGTATCCAACTTAAAGCCGTCGAGGAGTCAGTCCAAGCAATGAATACGAACTTCATGTAGGCCAATATCATTAATAACTGAAGACAATAACCTAGAACCAATATTACAAGCAAGAAGTTCTAATCGAGGAATCGTAATAGGTTTTAAAGGCGCTACTCTCGATCTTGCGTGTACCAAACTAACCTTTACCTTTTTGCCACTCTGTACTCTTGCCAACTGTAAAGACGCATGCACCATACGCACTTTTACTACTATCACAAAAGAGATGTATACTCACAGCTTCATTAATAGATTTGAGACCTACCCATCTAGGTATTTGGATACTGGATAGCAAGTACAACTTTTTACGCCAAAACCTAAAGTTTTTGGTTCATTCATCGGGAAGAACACCGTCCTATTTAAGCCTTAAATTCCAAGTTTCCTGTAAAATTAGTTTTGGAATCAACATTACAGGAGCCGTATGCCCTATAACGTCAAACACCTGATGAGCTACTGCTAAAACTAGTCTTTTAGTAACTGGGTCATCCAATTTTATATCTTGACTTATTTTGCAAGATAAGGTATCTGTAACTGTATGCCATACAAGACCCAAAACAGACACATCTCCTTCCGTGGAGAAATCTTCCTCTGGTACATCACTTCTTATATTGGATTTAAAATGACCCGAAGCCATAATTATTTGTGATTCATTTACAAACTTTCTCATTTCTATTTCTGAATCCATACTAGCCACACAGTTATCTACGCAAAAGGATGTTTTCAATATCTCCGCTGTATGACTTAAGCTTTCGGGAACTACACTCAAATGATATTGTATTGTAGCGGCCAATAAATACGGATTACACGTAATACCAAAAACTACCCTTCTATGCCGATACAGTTCTACTTGTTCTTGATTATCCCTACTGAACCACATAAATCTCAAAAAGTCTCGATCTTTTTCCCTTATAGATATTTGCAAGAACGCTTTTTCTATATCTGAAGTAACACCAACGTAATTCATGCGAAACCGATTAAGAATCGAAGGTATAATTTCAATTAAATTTGGTCCAGTAGACAAACAATCGTTCAATGATGGGTAACCAGGCGAATGAGAACGTGCGTTAAACACTGGTCTTATACTCGTGCTACTATTTTCTTTAACAACTGCTCTATGAGGTAAATAATGTACACCGTTATATTTATTCTTATCCAGTATTTTTTCAATTATCCCGAGTGCTAACCAGTTCTGGAAAACGTCTCGGTAAGCGTCAAAATTTCCCGTAGTCATTAATTTTCTTTTAGTACTTACAAGACATTTTTCTGCTATCACTTTGTTTTCGGGTAAAAGCAAGCTATCCGACACCCAATGTAATGCTACTTCGTACCTTCCCTCTGAATTTACCGTAAGAGTTTTCAAAATATTTTTGCGTATCCTCCTGTAACTGAGTTTTAGTTTTACTTACGGAAGGTTCACCAATACCCAAAACATCTAACTTCCAGAGATCACTAATACATTGACCCTTCACTAACAGAGAAGAAATTAGGAAGGGATGCAGTTATTTATCGTAGTTGGCTCAGTGGCCAGTAAATTTACCCATAACAGTTCCAGGCCTTTAACTGCGTATGCACCGCGCTGACGTCGCACAAGTAAGGGGAAAACAATTTTTCCAGTTAGCAACTTACCAGCAAAATCCGCACCAATTAGTAATTTTATCTCTTTTATCGACATTACATGGGTACCCGTTTTCATAAATCACTTAATTTGATACCATGTGACTTAAGTTCGCGTAACCACGAACCAGATGGGAGTTGCTTAATTTCAGAACAAATTTTGTTTTGACCAAGTACCTCTAATTTACACTTATATAAAAACTATGTTATTGAAGTAAGCAATCAATTTGTAATTTAGGAAAATGTTAAATTATCGAATACACTTAGTAAAACGTATTTATCGAATAAATTACAAGAATATAACCTACCAGACAGAATTCACAGTTAAATATCAGGCTTAGATGAATATCTATATCTATATATATTTATATTGTAGAGAAATTAGGTATTTTTTGGAAGCATTTGGAAGCAGGAGAGATGAAAAATAAGCAACGCCTTCGCCGGGAATCGAACCACGGACCTCTGGAATACGCTCCCAGCATGCTGATCAGTACACTAGGAAGGCATGCTAAGAAGGCGGGAGAAATACCTTATTTACTCCCCCTTTTAAAGGGCGACTGGGGTTTAGGGGATCCAATCGCCAAATCCTGAGTGTGCATAATCATCATCCACCACCCTTTTAGTTCGGGCGACATTACCTATTTTTTGGAAGCAGGAGAGATAAAAAATGAACAACGCCTTCGCCGGGAATCCAACCACGAACCTCTGGAATACGCACCCAGCATGCTGACCCCCTACACTACGAAGGCAAGGTAGACATAGGGTTTAATAGGATATGAAAAAAAGCTATATTACAAAAACGAATTAATAAAATAACATTTCAAAAGAATAACTGGCAGACCGAACTCATGATTAAGAATTAGCTTTAGTCTAATGATTATAATAATATATTTTAATTTATGCATGTGATATATTTTAATTTAGAAAAAGAATACAATAAAAGCTATTCAGAAGTTTAAAAAAGAATTTAGAAAGGAACTGAACTGCAGATGTATACACGAAAACAAATAATAACAACAAAATAATTCTAATATAGCAAAAACAATTACAAAAATGTAATTTTACAGAGCCACAACATTCTTCAAAATCAGTTTCATAAAAATGCTTAAACATAATTGTACTGTAGAAAAATGATATAGCGCCCAGATATATCACGAAATATACACAGGTTTAGAAATAAAATTATATTAGAGAATCAAATTAATGAAAGAAAACTGCAAAGTCAAACGTTTTCTGCGTTATGAACGCTTTAAGATTTGGAGTAGGTTAAAAATAAAGCTGCATAAATATATCAATTATAACAAACAAAACACTGTATTAAAATAAGAGAACTTATAGGACATCAAAGATTATCAATTATCCAGTCGAAAATCAAAACAGCAAATCATAATTCTACGTAATATTTCATAAATCTGGTAAAGACAAAAACTTACTCAAGTGAATCATGAGTTAAATTTACAGGATTATAGTTCAATCTGTACACAGATTTACTACACGTAGCCTTGAAAAAATTAAATTCTCATTTTATAATACGTTGAATTAATATCCTTACAGCTTGTTGTAGATTCTTTTTCCTGACTTTTAAGAAAAATCACCTTTTCTAAATGTTTAAACCACAAATTTTCCTTGGAAATCTCTTTCCATTCATCGGTTAAGAAAACTTGCTGAGTATGGGCAGAAAAAAACACTAGCGCGCTGTTATATAAATCAGAATCGGAATGCATATCGGCTAAATGCAGAACTTTGCACACATTTCTGACATGAAAATTGGATTTCAGAAATGATGAACACTTTTCCTTGAGAGCGGGAATATCGTATTTATCAGCTGCTGCGTATAATTGCATTGCTGTTGCTTCCAAAGGTTTTTCCAGTTTCTCAGAATACATAAATAGAAGCAGTTCATCCATTATGTCAGGTTTCACATCGGATATCACAACTGTACTGCTTGTGGATTCACTCATTTTAATTTGCAGCATTCTCGAAAATACCGAGGATCGTGCACATAGAATAAATTTGTGTGCGGGGAAGGTTTTCGAGCCGACTATGATAGTGATATCTGATAACTTTGCACTTCTGTACAGATTTTGAAGATCATTGATGTAATTAGGGCATTTCATGGAAGACATAATCTCACAAGAAGATTTCACAATTTCAGAAGAATAATGGTAGTTCGCAAATTTAAACTCGCATTCAAGTAAGAATGAATTACCCCATAGTATTGGATAATCCTCGAAACATCTCCATTTTTTGTCCGTTTGGAATAAGTGTACGTTTGGAATAAGTGTAATCCCAGAATCACTTTCAGAAAGAAAATCTCTTAAAAACGTTATTTTGCTTGCAACAAAAATTGGCTGGCTGTCATTGTTATCAATTTTACAAAGGGAAATTTCGATCCTGCGTTTTGGAGAAATATGAAGTATCATATTCCATTTACATGAGCTTATACTTCTGACAGTAAACACATGGCTGTATAAATTTGTATAGCTAGGGATGGCGTCAAATGTTTCTATTGGCCAGCGAAATGATATTTCCTCTACATTGATACGGGTGTTCGCCTTCTGGGCAGTAAAAGGTAAAAAACGTCGACTAGGAATTTCGTATTTCTCCATAACGTGGTATAATTCTAAAGATTCAGACATACTAAAATCCATACTCCCTGTGTAAATATATTGAATGATAGAGGACAACACATCCGGTTGGGTATCCAGAATTTGTTTGTAAGTGTCTTCTTCTTCGAGTTTTTCTGCCAGTTTAGTCCACCTTGCCCACAAAATTGCTTTATGCACTTTAAAGGACACACCTTTGGCTTGTAACATAACGTCTGCAAAAATTTGGGTTTTGTACGAAAGAGGAGGCAGTAAGTCTTCTTTACTAAGATGACATGTTGGTTGCAAAATGCATTTTATGGTGAGAATGTCATTTGGCTGATACCGGAGAAAGGAATCTCTTATAAGAAACTTCTGGGATTCCTATTCTGTTTTAGTTTTAAACACTTTGGTTATATCATTAAGTTCAAGCAACTGCTTTCTACAATCTTGTATCTGAATACTAAATTTGACTTTACATTCTTCGCAAATACTATCAACTCTTACTAGACAAACAACTATATAATCGTTACTGAGCTTACCGTTTGGATATAATCGTATACGCCATTCCATGCCAGGTAAAGAATTAAAAGCAAATAATGGACTGTCAAAAATTGTTGAAAATTTCAGCATGTGCGACTGATGGCACATGCTGAAATTTTCAACAATCCAGGTGAATGTGAATTTAACGCTTTCGTGCTTCGACATCATGCACGGTAGAATTCTTATTTCAGCGGCTGCCGTCTACATTGAATGAAGTGAAGCTGAAATGATATATCTGAAACTTTGACAAGTTAGCTTGGAGTGATAACGGTCATAAGACCTTTACTCTTGTTGATCTTCTATTATCTCAAAGGTAATCCTAAAATAGCAGTTACCTTTTCAAAGCTTATCTGAAATCGAAAAGCATATACATTTTCTTAACAGATTTATGAAGAACTGAAGATTTGGCACAGCTTTTAGACAGAAAGGAAAAACACATATTACGTCTCATAGTTCGTTAAGGGAAAATGTTTTGGCTCTGTTGTTTCTCTGGATATCAAATAGACTATTCAAAGCAATGTAATCATTTTAACAACTAAATATGAAAAAATAATACACTTCATAATATTAAAATTTACTATACAAATATATATTATCTTAATAAATCAAAGGATAGGTACTAGCTTTAAAGCGAGATCCTCTAGTGTTCAGTAACAACATTTACTACTGGGTACAGATTGAAGCGAAGTTGGTAACTGTGAATTCCCAAAGGTACATTAGGGGTATCGCTAGACTTTGTTAACTGTTAATTCCAGCCCCAAGTGTGATGAAGAACATCTGGCGGGGTAGTCCGAGGAGCTTTCTTCCCTCTTCCATTACCAATAACCACTTGAGAGAACTCTCAGATCACCGTGTATTTCAAGTGCCCCCTTTTCCACATAAGCATTATACATTTACAAACACCCATGCCTTCTCTAAGATTCTAACCCGGGCTCATCGGTAAGGCAGTCAGCATCACTACCCACTTAAGCACTTTTGTCTTGTAGGTGTTCCAACATTGTATTAATTAGATCAGCATAGGAGTTGTCTTCCAGGCTTTTGCTGTTATGTAGGCACTTTAAACTCAGTGTTCAATGAGCACTGGGTTCAAAGGGTCTTTATAAAAAATAGTTGCCAGCTTGTTTATAGAAAGCTATATCTTTCAAACAGGAGGAATGGTTATGTAGGGTTCCTGAAGTAATGCCAAAGAGGGCTCTTTGTGTATCATTAGTAGAATAACATTTAAGGTGGCTGCTTAAGCTCTTTATGAATTACATTTATGAAAGTTTCTGCTCATGCCTTTTATGAGGCTGTGTGGCATGTGACCTATAACTGTTTAACTTTTATGATAGTCTTCAATTGCGTTCTGTACATGGGACATATTGAGGAACTTGCGGGATGACTAGTCTCGTTGCTAGTGCCTTTGTTTTTATTTTTCAAGTTTCAGTGCTATAATCTTTTGTACTATGTTCTTTACCACACCTTGTACAAGCTGTTGAAGTTTTACATTTGGCCAACTGACCAAATTATTGACAGTTGTAGCACCTGCGCACTTGGAAATTAAATTAATCTTTAAAACTGCACAAGCTAAGGTCCAAGAACTCCACTGTTGTGGTTTAGAGAAGTTCGTAACAGGTGTTTCATCGCAACAGTTTCGAAATAGTATAACATTAATGGTTAACATTAACAGCCCCACTAATGGACGAATAACTAATACTTGTTAGTTTGCTAAGCACTGTTAGTTTGACTCAACTTCGAACCTCGTGAATTGCCTGGCTGCATGATTGGTTTTAGTGAATTTCTCCATGTTTAACGTGAATACGAATAAGTTTTTTTAGAATGTCCTCCACGAAGGCATCCCTCCTCGTAGGGAGATAACTGACGTGTGCTTCACCAATACTTAAAACCAACCGAGCCGAAATATGTATTGCATTATTTTACCCTTTCATATTACTTAAACAAAAAATATAAAAGTCACTTTAAAAATGCTTGAGTATATTTGACCTAGAAAGTGGCTGAGGAATGAAAATAGTTCGATATATGCTAAATTGCTGCGTGCGTATCGGTTTGTAATAGATTGAATGCACACATGTCCGATGATAGGTTAATAAAATTTATTTTATCAAAAGAAACATTTCAGATTTCTGGAACTTTCTACAGAAATACTTGTGTCAGTGTTCACAGTAACACAGAGTACAATTAATAGTAACACATCAAACTACTAATAACGTTAAACGCAACGCAATGAGAAGCTAAAGAGCGAAGCTAACCCGGAGATACTTCAGTAATCCGAACTGACGCTGAATCAACAATTACAACAACAACTGAGAGCTGATGCTGTCTCCTGTCTTACACAGTTTTCACCCGGCCGCCGAGATATTTCTAGAACTTCCCAAAATTACGGGAAGGCATATGAGGGTCACATTCGGTTACCTATATATGAAATCAATTATAATTATTCAATTACAATACTTATTATGGTAATATAGGGAATCGGACCAAAATGTCGCCAAGTTTGGTGACTTTGGGCGGTTTCTTGCCAAATTTGGCGACAAGATGAGTCGCTCAACCCGTTGCCAGCTTGGCGATGTTTCGCCAACTTAGCGAGATAGCAATTTATTCAATGTTAAGTAGACTTGCTCCTGAATTCTTAACTTTCCGGCATGGCATCGTATCTCTAGATTTTCATGTTATATTACACAGAAAAATAAAATAATTTCACTCATAATTGCACTAAAATCACCTACCTGCTATGTACACAATTCGTAACAATATGAACATATTGCTTATATTTAAAGCGAAAGTTATATTTTTAAATGACACGGTAACATTTGATGAAAGAAATATTTTGCATTTTTATTCTTTTCTAAAAATATACTGAGTCATTTAAAACCTTGAAGTGCTATACGGCTTCTAAGTTGTGTAAAAACCCCATAACAAAATGCATACTTCTGTATACGAACAGTATAAAAATTTCGCTACTGAATAAAAAAAGCACAAAATATAGGGTCATCTCATAAATAGTGCGTTTTTAATCCAAAGGGCTAATCTGTCCAGAAGTACTACTAATTTCGTTTTGGAATTTTGCTCTGATTCACTACAAGCGTTGTTTCACTTTTCAAATTGTTGCCACCAAAGTATTATATTTAAAGAAATTAAATAATGAAGAATCTGCATAAATGTATGTATGTTTCTCGCATATTGATAAAACAACGGTACCTACAGCCGTCCAATTTTGAATAACGTAATCCTCCTGCAAATATGGGCATCTGGAAAACCAGATTTGAAATTTGCAATTTGTTTTATTATCATTCATTTTCATATTTTGTAAATGTTGATTATATACGAATAATCAACATTATATGCGAATAATCAACATTTCATATTTTGTAAATGTTGATACGAATTTTTGATTACCAAATTCAAAGATTTCAAAGGGAGTAATGGCAACGTCGTACAGAAAAAAAAAAAAAAAATTATCTCCAGCGCGCGAGATTGTGTATCGGAAATTCTAAAGATATGCTCACTTTAAAATTATTTTGCGATATTGCTGTTAAACTGAATTTTATGTTTAAGTGCGAAGAATAAGATATTTAATAAATAAAGATAGCACACAAAATGTTACAAAAACGCCTCTTTGGACGTAATTTAAAATCCGAAACCTTTCAGATTTTCTTTTCATACTTCTTTGAATTTTTCAAAATTAAAGTAGAATTTTTATTTAATTTAAAATGCACTCTTTATCATCGTCTGCTACAGTTATTCAAGAGATATGATGCGAGTTTGTTCCACCAAACATTTGCAGGACGTTGTCATGCAGCTCTACAAATTTTCAGGATTATCTAAGCTGTAGTTTCTAACTCGGAATTTCTGGAACCATCGTTGAACCATTCTTATTGTCCGATGTCTATATGATACTTCATTAATATTCACATTAATCACACTACTTGGCGTTGTAGATACATTAGGAGTTTTTCGAAGCGGGAGAGATGAAAAATGAGCAATACCCTTGCCGGGGCTCGAACCACGGACCTCTCGAATACGCGCCGACATGCTGACCACTACACCACGAAGGCATGCTGAGAAGGCTCGAGAAATGCCTTATATACTCCCCCTTTTAAAGGGCTACTGCGGATTAAGGGACCCAATCGCCAAATCCTGGTGGTAGAGAATCATCATCTACTACCTTTTTTTAAGTTTAGGCACCACTGTAGAGACATTAGGAATTTTTCGAAGCAGGAGAGATGAAAAATGAGCAGTGTCGTCGCAGGGACTCGAACCATGGACCTCTCGAATACGCGTCGAGCGTACTGACCACTACACCAAGAAGGCATGCTAAGAAGGTGGGAGAAATACCTTACAGAGTCTTTAAAGAAAATATGCTCTTTCATAAGCTCAATTAGCTCTGGAAAAAAAAATCTTATGTGGGCACCACATGATTTCCTTGTACGGCCTACTAAATTATACATACTGTTGCGTGTGTACGGGTTCGTTACGAAATGAATGCACAAGTCCGATGAAAAATGAAGAAAATTTATTATTATCACAACGAATATGATTAAATGTCCTCAAATAATCGCGCAGTATCACAATATATCACAGTAGTTACCTTCTAACTACTCAAACGTTCAACAGAAGTTTATTCAAAACAGCTAAAGAAAGCTAATTCGCGAATTCGCTACAATCAACAAAAGCAGTTTTCTAAACAAATCTTAAAACAAACAACAAACTAACTAAAATCACTGACTAACTGAATTGAGAGGTTTTCCTCCTTTTTATAAGAAATCGCGCGCGAGAACTTTCTGGAACTTTCTCGAAATCAAAAAGAGATATTTATTAAATGTTACATGCACGCGCTCTTGTCACAGGGGCTACGCCATCCGTGACATGACCGCAAGGGGCAGAAATTGTAAAGTAGTTGAATGGAGTGGTTCGCATGCTGCTGTTTCGAAGTCACGTCGCCATAGAAACAAATGGTAGCCATTACTACGGTTACCGTTGTCACGCGGCGAATATAAACTTTTAGTGCTTCCGCTCACATACTTCTAATTGCAAAGCAGTAGTATGACAACCGCTGCATTCGACGACTCTACAATCTCTGCCCCTTTCGGTAATGTCATGGATGACGTAGCCCCTGCGATTTTTCTCTCCGTGGCGTCACTGGCTACGCCCCCACCGCACACCACAAATGCAGATGAAGCCACGCTTTGTATCCACTTTCTCATTAATAGAAAATTATATATAAAAATTATTGCATTGCACGAAATAGGAGTGCTCGTGGTAGGTTATAAATTTACTATACATTAAAAAACGCTACATAAGGGTTTGAAACATTCCAGAAATTAGAGATAATACATTTATTTTAAACCGTATTATCAAAAGAATGATGCACAGCATTAAAATGTTGAGCAAAATTATTATAATTAAATATAAATATTAAATACAAAAAATTCATTAAAAATGACGAACACGCACTAAACCAAAGAAATGCTTCGAATGACTATTGTAGACAGAAGCCGGCCCACGGCTTCAAATGTAACCCTACTAAAATTGCTTAATCTGGACCGTTATAAAATCCTGTATCTTCCACCCCTATTTTGCATGCAAATAATCGAAATAAGCAGCACGAGTGCGCATTCATTTGAACGTTGAAAACACTAGATATGTTAAAAAAGATATGCGTCCGCCGAAGAATATAGTCCTATCATTTCTAGCAGCTTTAATTTAAAAATTAAACAATGACATGTGAATATTATTGAGATAAAAGAAAACTGACCAGAAAAGGTACTGAAATTTGAAGGTAAAAACATTTTACCTTCAAATTTTAATTTGAAAATGAAACAGAATACATATCGATCATTTGTGAAGAATAAGATCGGATCCCCTTTTGGTGTAATATTAAAAAAACTGCGACTCGATCTTTTTGAAAATTTTAGGAGTTTTAGTGAAATGCTGGAACCATTTGTAAAATAGTATTTCATGAGGCATGGCCGGATTTAGGGTGGCAGCTGAAGGGGCACAGTTTCTGGAAAATGAAATTTCTGTTTATAAATCGAATGCAGTTACAAAAACATTGATTTTATGCAAAATTCACAACCGCCTTCCCGAAATTAAATCCTAACTATAGTAGTGTAATGAGACGAAAACTATGAAAAACAAAAGAATACGCTTTTATACTGAGACGGTAAAAGAAGCAAATTGTTTAAACGTTACGAAAAAGAATCAAATATCAAAGCAATGATTTATCGAGCTCAAAAACAGTACGAAGAATACGAATAATTTGATATCAACCTGAATTTTGAAAAAGGGGTCGGAGAAAGAAGCAAATGCGTCATAAAAAAGGTGAAACTGGAGTTCGTCAAAAAACAGGATATTTATATCCCTCTTAGATGCTCAAACACTGAAGAATATTAAAATCAGTTGGCTACTTGATTCGACAGAGGTTAAAGGTAAGATAGAGGTCTTTATCAAAGCCACAGCTCCAAAGTACAAAAACGATCAAGAAATTCGAGTTACTCAACATTCTATAAATACATCCTTGGTGCAGTTAAAACAAATTATTATTACACGATTCAAAAAATTCCCGAGCCATACACTCTGAAAAAAAAAAATATGTTTCAAACAAATTTTTCTCAGAGTACTTACTTTGTGATATCCTAGTTTCAGTACAAAATATTAATGTGTACCTAAACGAATTCACAGTAGGGATGTCATTCATGCGTAATCTTAAACGAGGATAAAGAGTTAAAAAGTTCCGTTTATTTAAGTTAGTGTGTTCGAAAAGGTTTGATTCCTTTCCATTAAATATTATAAAAATAGTCTGCTACTGTTAACTATTTAACATTTTCATCAATACGAAAGACGTATTTCGTTTTCCAAGAATATTCGTCGAACGCTAGCAACGAGATAACTCGTTCTCAATGCAAGTTTTTTTCAATAATAGTAATAATAATAATACAATGTGGTTTGGTTTAGTTTATTTGATTGTGACAAAGCAGTACAGGTATATCTCCTAAGAGAAGGGATGCCTTCGTGGAGATCTCAGTCCATATTCTTTTGTTTTCACAAAATTGACAAAGAGTAGGACAAAGGCGAGTCGTTACCACAATGAATGTGTTAAAAAGCTAGGGAACTGACGTTACAACTAAATGGAATGTTGTTCTTTAACTTTATTTGATAACATGCCCATAGCTAAATATATGAAAAGTTTTGGAGGCATTAATTAAGCATTTTCAATGGAAGAAAAAGCAGAAGCTTTAAAACCTGATTCAGTTCAAAATAATTTACCTTCGACAATTAAATTCAATTTCTAAAGAAACACTACAAGCTTGCTTAATAAGTGACATAGTGAATCTCCACGATAGAGAGCAAAAAGGAGTATAGACTGAAAATTTTACAAGAACACCATAAATGAACTATTTTCATAGTACTGATACATTTTTTGGTAAAAGTTTACTATTGGGTGCCCCTTGTTTTTGGCGATTCTTTTTGACGCCAAGATCGGCACCAGGAAGACACAATTTCAAGATGGCCGCTACACAAAACCAAAATAATCATTTGTAAATCAAAGAATTGCACAAACTGTGTGTCCATGTACACATCGATCTGTTTTCACTTAAAAAAAAACATCCCAGAATTGCACAAACTAAGCATTGTGCACTGCCTTAAATTTGCCCATGACTATTTAACTTTGTTTTAGCTTCCTGATTTTTTAAAATGAAATTACAACAATCTATTTTAATTTTAAAAAAATCGGGAAGCTAAAACAAAGTTAAAACTATCATGGTAACCAGAAATGAGGTTTCATCGTCAAAATTTAAAAAAAAAAAAAAAAAAAAAAAAAAAAAAAAAAATTATTATTGCTAATCGAAGAGGCACCCAATTCCATACTAGAGCCCATTTTTTTAAACTTTTATGGGTAATAGTGCTAACTTTACAAAATAAAATTCAAATTTATCTCATCTGTATCCGAGGCACACTTTAATTCAAAATTATACGATATGTACTATTAAAACACAAATCATCGTTACTACCAAATAAAAAAATATGATTATATTACAAAAGCTATTTAAAATTTAATCTTGAATGTAGGCATGGAATTTGGCATTAATTTTTTTATCTCTGCTACAAAATACCACATTCTCTTACAGTTTCTCTAACGCTTACGTCCTGTACGTTTTTTCCTATTCGCAGATTTCTTTCCATAACCAAAGGTAACTCTGAGCGCACATTTTTGCAAATCACAATCAGAATGCTCCTCGGCTAGCTGAAGAATCTTACCCGCATTTTCGGCATTAAGATTCGCTTTAAGGAAGGAGGAGCACTTTTCTTTGAGAGTAGAAACATCGAACCTATAGGCTGCTATGTACAGCTGTTCAACAGTTTCTTTTAGGGGTTTCTCTAGACAACCAGAATACATAAATAGAAGTATTTCATCCATTATATCGGGATCTATATCCGAAACTGTAACTGTATCCATTTTCGGCGTGATCTCTGATGTTTCGAACATTTTACGAAATACTGATGATCTCGAGCACAGAATGTATTTATGGGCCCAGAATGTTTTCGAACCAACTGTTATATTAATATCTGATAAATTTCCACTTCTATAAAGATTTCGTAAATCACTTTTGAAATAAAGGCAATTAACTGAAGATGGAAAAGCACAAGAAGTCTTTGTAACCTCTGAAATATATTTGCAATCCGAAAACTTAAACTCGCATTTAAGCTCGAATATGCAACCTAAGAATAATCTTTTCGAAATCAATAGCAACTGCTCTGCGCATCTCCAGCACTCGTCTGCAGAAAACAAATACTCATTTTCTAAAGAATGTCTGGTGAGGCTTATTTTACTTCTAACAAAAATCGGCCTCGACGCACTATCATGTACCTTACAAAGGTAAATATCAAAAATTCGAGAATCATCCGTTATTTCACGGATATGAAGGATTAGGTGCCATGTACAGGACCTCTGTAGAGCGACAGAAAATACACGACTGTGTAGTATTGTACTAACAGGGAAAGTGATGAAATCCTCAATTATCCAATCAAATGATACTTCCTCTCCGTTAAAATGGCTCCACACTTCTTGTTCCACAACAGGCGAACGTTCAATACTGGTGAGATTATACTTAGCGGCAGCTGCATAGACTTCTGCCAATAATTCTTGTTCCTTGAAGTTCAGTTTCCCAGTGTAAACATATTCGATCATGGCCTCCAAAATGGTAGGTCTGATGTCCAAGAACACCTCGCATGTTGCTTCTGCATCGAACTTTTCTACTAGTTTGGGCCACCTTGCCAACAAGACAGATTTATGCACATTGAAAATATGATCGCCGGCACGGAGCACGAGATCCGGGAATAATCCATTTTGGTAAGAGAGTTGGGGAAATTCGTCGTTTGTCTCATACACTGCTTCCAGGGTACACTTCACGACCAGAACATCTTCTATCAGCATATCTAAAAGACGTTGTCTCTCGACAGAAAAGTAGTTTATCATTTCATCATAAGTAAAGATAAGTATTCCGGTGCAAGTCAGACCTTGAATGCGACTTTGAATAGCACATTTCTCGGGAACATCACCATCTAAGTTAATAATAACATCTATGTAATCGCGATCAGAAATTCCTCGCGGGTATAATTTTATACAACACTTTATATTAGGTAATGTATTTAGGGTAAACCTGGAACTACGAAGACACTGGCCGTTTGGCTGATGACACATGCTGAAATTTTCAATACACCAAGTGAATTTAAATCCACCGTCACCATCTTTCTCCATTTTGCTTCGACGGTACCAGTAGTTTAAAGCGCTCAGCAGCAGCAATCAAATTATAACAATGAGGAGTGACATGTGACTTTCGAACGGTTGCACTTTGCATCATACGATAAGAAGAACGAAACTTATTACGTCACTTCCGTAATTCCTGCACTTGTTTACCCAGAGAGACAGCGAAACATTTTTAACGGAAGCCATTAGATGCTAGTGACCTTCATTGTTCAGATAACTCGGGATAAAAAGAATGATTTATTCGATACTCACAAACATAGAAATAACATTCTATCTAATCCTTAAAAACATTGCTTGTGATAATGCATTAGTATGTCTGTGTTGATACATCATACTAATAATGTAATCCATTTTACTTATTTTTGTACTACGTATCTCTATTACATGCCTTTTTTATGATTCAAACAAACATTATAATCTTTATGAATAAGGTATTTCTCCCACCTTCTTAGCCAGCCTTCGTGGTGTGGTGGTCTGCACGCTGAGCGCGTAATTGAGAGGCCCGCGGTTCGATTCCCGGAGAAGGCCTTGCTAATTCTTTTCATCTCTCCGGGTTCAAAATTACCTAATGTCTCTACGCGGTTGCATTCTGTTAGACAGAGCCAAGCAGAATGTAAAATTCAAAATAATAAAGCAACAATACTCTACAAACGTATTCAAAAATTACATACACATACATTTACATATTGTTTCGTTTCGTAAAAAAGAACGAATTGTAGACCTTTAGCGTAATGTTATGTGCTGACTATGGATACTAACAGAAAGAGGATGGATGTATCCAGGCCATACATTAAGAATTATGTAAAAACATGATTAATATTAAATATTAAATATACTTGATTTTGCAGTTTTGGGTGCATTTACGTATTAATGCGAAATAATAGCAGAACTAGGTATAGATTAAAACGGAAGAAAATAGCATTGAGAACAAAAGTTCCTAATCTGTTAAATAAAATTGAGGACAGTTTAACAAAGAAAGATACAGACGATTTATGCAAATTGCATGAATTATTATTAGAAAAGAAAACTAGCTTGTGTTGTATTGAAGGAAATTTGGTGTGGAATAATAACATGCAGATTGTGATAAACATACAAAATTTAATCTTATCTCCAAATGAACATTTTGTACAATCAGTTCAAATAAAAAAGTAATTAATTAACACAAAGTTTGATTTACATGATACAGTTTGCAATTCCTTATCCATACTGTCGTGGACAGAAGACACAATCCTAAATAAACACGTAATCCCAGCTACAAAAATATTCATTTTCTTAATACAAGTCTTTAAGTACCGCATTAAAATATTAAGGTCACAATAAAGATATATATAAAAACGTTATCTTAATTGCGGGACAAACTTATGAATAAATATTCACATTTTAACACTCTGTTTCCATAATAATTACTATCACCTAATCTAGAGACAAACCCTTAAATACATATTGGCATTACAAAATTTCAAATTTGCAGCTCCAGTGCCACCACTAAGAGGAGGTGAAGGGTACTTATCACAGCGGACTTCGAGATTGTGATAGTTAAATAAGATTAGAGAAAACTAAAGAATAACACGGAGGATCCCGCTGCAAACAATTAATCTGACCTGCTAGTTAATGTTACACTCAGTCATTTCTTAAACGTCTGTAGAACCGAAATGCTTTATCAGATTACGGTAGAAAGCTTTATCTCTGAGTAGTTTCTTAAACATTTCATAACTGTCTGGCAGGAGCCTTTATCGCTTAGTCTTTTCTTAAACGTCTGTAAAACTGGAACACTTTGTCAATGTTCCGGTTCATCAGAAAAATTTATCGCTCGGTCTTTCCGTAAAAGTCGGAAACTGGATCAGGAAATTTTATTACAGTCTTTTCTTTAACGTCTGTAAAACTGGAACTCATCATCAGAATAGGGCAGAATCCTTTATCGCTCAGTCCTTGCCTAACTGTCGGAAACTAGAACACTTCGTCAGAGTATGACAGGATCCTTTATTGCTCAGTCCTTTCTTAAACGTTGAAAAACTGGAACATTTCATCAGTATTTCAGTTTCATCAGGAATCTTTATTGCTCAGTCTTTTGTAAAAGTAGGAAACTGGAACACTGATCAGGAAACTTTATCGCTGAGTCTTTTCTTAAACGTCTCAAAAACTAGAACACTTCGTCAGGGTGTGGCTGGAACACTTATCGCTCAGTCGTTTCTTAAACTTCTGTAAAACTGGAACACATCATCAGGGCAGGCTAGAAACTTGTATCGCTCAGCCCTTTCTTAAACGTTGGAAAATCTGGGACACTTCATCAGTGTTCCACTTTTATCAGGAACTTTTATCGTTCAGTCATTTAAAAGTCAGCAAAACGGAAACACTTCGTCCTAAATGTTTATAAAACTGAGATAGTTAGTTCATCACCATGAACAGCAGCCCTTTTAGGAAAGTCGAATTCATGCCATCTGCCACAAATTCCATTTGAATCTCGAAACTTCAAACACTTCATCTAATCATCTCCAATAATATTCTCTCATCTAAAAAAAAAAACTGTACACCTTTCTATAGTTATCACTCGCATTTTCTCTCCCTTTCCTTTATTTTCTTCTTCCTTTCAACTAACTTACTCATTCACTTAAAAGTTAACCCGAAGTTAACTCAAAAAATAGCTTCTCTTCCTTTTCGGCAAAATGCTTAACTCCAAACCTAATTATTAATTAAAAGCCATTTTCTTATTTGAACTCAATAGGTCAAACACAGTCTGCCACAATTTTTTCGTTTGTTCTATGATTAAAGTACACGGGGATTATTTGCCTAAGGGTAGAGATGCCTTTGTGGAGGACTTCGTGGAGATAATTGTCTTGTTTACACGTTACACACGGGGAAAGCCACGAAAACGCGCATGCAGACATGCCCGTTATCTGGGACTCAAACCCAGGACGGAACTGCCAGTGTTCAGCGATTTTACCGCTCGACCGCTGGTGGGCTCCTAATTTTTCCGAACCAGTTATAACTACGTAATAATAAAAATAAGGCTCCGCATATATTTTCCACCGCGCCTCAAGAAAAACGAGTAGGGTATTTTCCTTTTCTCGTTCACCGTAGGAAATTCTCCGAGATACATCATGCCGCTACAAAACGTTTCTTACGAAAATAACACGTTTGTGCATTCTTCTGTTCGCATCATAGTTCATGGAAGAAATAAACAATAAATGGTGCCAATGCTCCAATCAAGTTTTTTTTTATAAATCTGCCGCAAGTGATTACCTCCTATAACAAAATAAATTTTAACTTTTCCGTCTAGGCCTTCAGACACAGAATTCTTCTTTGAAGTTCACATTCGATCCTTAGGCGGGCACCCCGTGGCTCGCAACTTATCAAGGGAGCAGAAAATATCTCCGTGTCTCTGCAGCTTACAAAGAAAGTGAAAAAAAAGAGACTTATCTCACAATTTTTTTTCTCCTATTTTATGGGCATTTCTTGTCAAATCCACGACATTTAGAAATAACCTTGAAGTCAGAATCTCTGCATAGCAGTTAAAAAAATAGATGAGGCAATTCATTCTGCAGCTGATATAAATTCTTTGGAAGTGGATGTAGTTAGTTACAAGGAATAAAAAAGAAAAAAGAAAAAAAATCTCGAGCTATTAAACGAATTAATCGAATGTTAGAAGAAAGGGATGAAATAAGTATTAAAGAACCTGAGCAAAATGGAGTTAGATTGCTAAATGTACAAAGTACCGTAAAACTTCCTAAACCAAAGTGAGAAAAACATTCGGGTGATCCTAAAAAATTTACTAATTATTGGAACAGTTATAAAAGTACTATAGTCAAACACGAAAGTCATATTAAGATAAAAAAATGGCTCATTTGAAAACATTACTTATAGGTGTAGTAGCTCATGGGTGAAAAATATAGTAGCTTCCTTAATTAAACGAAAAGAATTATGATGAAAATATTTAAACATTGAAGGAAAGATTCAGGATAAAAGGAATAATTATTAGTCAGTCCATGAAAAGTTGTCTAAGACACTTTTTCGTTTGATTGTTTCCATCGATCAAATTCGAGAACGAACTCTTCTGGAATAGATTTTAACAATACGGGAAAACATTTTGGGCTTCCAAATGCCTAACTGCAATTTCAGTTTTATCATAAAACTTACATAAAGCTTTAATATTGTTTGAACGCTTTACTGGTTTCAGATTTAATGTCCTCCATAAAACATAAAAATAAATGTTGTGAAGTGTGAAGTTTACTGATGCGAGAAAAAAGAAATACTTTACCTTCACGTTTAGAACATGTTAAGTCTGATTATAAAAAAATTCATTGAAATGTACCGACGGCTGCCAGTTTTAATGCAATTTATAATCGCGCATGTATCTTCTGCAAAAAGTCCCTTTATTCCTTTTCTTGTGAAAAAACGTTTAAGAAAAGAAATGTATAAATTACAATATATAAAGAAAACAGATGCTTTATTTCTTTTCGAAAACTTCACATTTGGAATTCCTGTGGGAATAAAATTAACTGTTTAGAATGCAGGATTAAATCTCATCACGAATCACTATGTACGAATAGTTCAAACCGTGACAAAATGCAAACGGCTTTAAAAAAAAAAAATATGAAAGAATTATGTGAAAATACGCAAGAAAATTCCCTAAATGAAAGTTAAAAGTCCCCGATTGCACACACGTTCTCTGTTATTCCAGGCGCTAATTCATGTAAGAAAACACTTTCTTGCAAGCATGTTCAATATTAATCAGCTCATTATGATGGTAGGTCTAAGCTGACTAATTTAATTTTTGATTGTCGTGGTGTCATAAAGCAATGTTCATGTTAGTGTAGTAAAGAAATTAAACTAAAAAATTGTTGGAGAAGACAGACTGTTGACTCTTTCAGAACGAAATGCGCAGTACTTAAACATTAGAGTTCTACCTGGGTACCTGGGCCGAAGGCCCTACCCCATGTAGAACAGTTTACCTTTCCTAATTATTACAAGAGAGAAATAAAAAAAGATTGTAGCTGAGTGAAATTACAAAGATA